TGCATGCATGCGAGAGAGAGAGAGAGAGAGAGAGAGAGAGAGAGAGAGAGAGAGAGAGAGAGAGAGAGAGGGAGGGAGGGAGGGAGGGAGAGAGAGAGAGAAAGTGCTCACATTCAAGTTATGTGAGTCCCACCATTGGTTTCATGATTCCATATGAAAGTTACAACCCATAGCATAAGAATCTGGGACCCAGAGAGTGGTCTGTGTGGCCAGTATTGTGGGCTCTAATGGCTGCTTTCATACTCCTACAACATACTAATCCTTTAGTAGAAGACTTTAAGTTTTTTATATTTTTTTCAATCAAAAACATACTTGGTGGTATTCAGTCAAATCCATTGATGATGCTCCTACCAAACAGATGCCCCATCTCCTGTGAGAACCATTATAACAAGAACAACCGAACCCCCCAGGATACCCCTGCCTGTTGGCTTTAGCCATCAACTTGGCCTGTCTACAGTCCACAGCCATCCAACCAAAGACTTAGAGGGATCCCATGAGGTTATATAATAGATGTGGCTGACACTTACAACCAGTCAACCTTAAGAGGTTGCCCTTGAAAGTGTGGGTGGGACGTATCTACTTAGTTGAAAGCCAGAGAGTAGAATGGAGTTTGGAGAATAAGAAATTTTGCCTGGAAAGTTCTGCATGAATTCTGGTCCAATGACCAAGACTTTCAGACCAGCAGGACCCTCAGCCAACAACCATGTGACCAATCCTTAGAGTATCCTCTCTCTCCTCATGCCATGCCTCCCCACCTCACAATGACCCTAATAAAAGGTCACCATCAGAAGATTCTTGCCTGTTGTGAGAAGGGTCCTTGGCAGGGAGGAAGCAACAGGAGACATAGTGAATGCACCCTAGTTACGTAACATCCAGCAGGGCCCAGGAGAGACAGGGGGTTCAGAGGGATGCTGGGGTTGGTGACAGTAGGGACAGCATTACAGCACATGGCTCTGAAGACAAGGCATAACCTAATACCCCATTAAATTTTCCTGTGCTTCTGGTAATTCTGTTCCAGGAAGTCACAGCTTTGGACTAGAGAGGGCGAAGGCAGGGCCTGGTACAGTGAGGGAGGGGCTGGCCGGAGTGGTACAAGTTGCTTAGGGCCACGGGGGCAGGCTCCTCTGGGAGATTCATGTCTCCCTTTCCATATGCTGACCTACTCTGGACTTGCTGAGTGACTGAGGGTAGCTAACTGCCTCCTCTTTTATTTCCAACATGATTCAGAACACCAGTGAGCGCAAAGCTCACTGGCTGCCTAGTGGTCTGGAAATCCAGCAACCCCCCATTCTGCCTCTTTAGTTTGATCATTTATAAACTGTGAAATGTCCTTGTATACCCACAGTGGAGTCCTTCAAAAGCTCTATTGAATCCAGGAACCTGAAGGCATCCTAGGACCGTCTGCTGTCGGGAATCTTAGGAGACTGAGGAGACGGACTGTGACGTGCTTGGGAGGACCTCAGTGGAGGGAGCTATGGTCATTGGAACTTACAAACTGCAAAGAACCAGGCAAACCCTTCCTCTCTGCATACCCAGTCTGTTAGTTAAACATGCCAGAGAGATAGAACCAACTGGATGCGCACGTCTGTACAGATGGGGGGAGGGATTCACTTTCCCCGCTGGGGTCATGCAGTCACGGAGGTACAAATCCAACATTCACTGTAGGGATGATGGTGAGGAAGAGCTGCCCTGGAGCTTCTCCTTCCTGTCAAGAGGCCAGCCCTTGGTTATTAAAGCCTTTCATTGAATGCACTATGGACAATGACTGGCTATACTCAGAGTCTACTGATTTAAACGTAGTCTCATACAAAAATAAATTCAAAGAAATATCTCGAATGAAAGATGACTAGGTATAGGGTACCACACAGCCTGGTCAAGTTGACACAAAATTTCTCCTCACTTTTAGTGTGGAAGCCCAGGGATACCCACACTGTCCAAGAACATCACCCCAAAGTTCTTTCCACTAGCTGTCTCTGAAGCACCCAGCCAGCAGTCTGAAGCAGGAGCAGCAGGTGTGCCAGGTTCTGCTCTGTGGCCCTGAAGTGCAGGGTTGAGCTAAGCACTGTTCCTGGGCTTCCGGTGCACACAAGATGAGCAACCGAGCTTCAGGTCTCTGGAGAATCCACCACAGCAATGCCTGAGTCCAGTACACACTGAGAGGACTTGATATGCCATCCCCCACAGGGGCAGATCCTGCCTACAGCCTTCTTGAAAAGCTCATGGCCTGGGCCTTGGCTACACATGGTATCTGCCCATCCACCCCTGAGCAGGGACATAGTGGCTGTGTGCCCTGCAGCAGACTAGTGCCTTATAGTCAATAAGCCCAAAAGACCAACGCAAGGTTATGCTTCTCTGAACATTTTATAACTACCAGAAACTAAGAACATCAAAAAGCCTTCTGGGAACAGACTTTCTCAAAGAGTCTTGGAAAACAAGGCGGTGCAACCTAGCTACTAGCAATGAAACTTGAAAACCACCCCCTCACTCAACCCTTCCCTTCCCAGGCCGTCTGCATTACAGGTCTTCGTCATCAAAGGTCTCCAGGCACTTGAGCAGCATCAGATCATCATCGACCGGGGGATCTGGTTCCTGCCAATCGCAAAACAAGAGACTGGAAGTTAGGATCAACCTGTTTCCAGGCAGTTAAGAAGGTCCCAGCATTCTGGATATGCTCAGCTCTCCAGTCTACCGCCTTCTGCCTGCAGCGCCAGGTAGAGGGGCATGCTTGTTTCCACTGAGTTCATCAAAGCATCCCGTGACTCCCAGGAAGGGCGGAGAGTTGGCTTCTGCCCCATGCTTGGAATTTCCAGGCACCCATAAGAGAGGTAAAATCTTAAAGCTTTATCTAAATGCCCGTCTACTGGTGACCCGCACCATGGTGCACCCAGCCATGGACCATGTGACTGGTTTTAGGGAAAAGAGCTCAGGGCAAGGCCCTGTGCACAGTAGGCAACCATTGTGTTTGAAAGAACATGTAAACATCCATACATGGCCTTGGAATGGATGTGCAGGGAACCCGCCATGGCAATGGCCTCTGGGAAAACCATGGGATAGTAAAGCAAGGACAATGGTAGGAGAGAGACTAAGCTTTTTTTTTTTAATTTAAAAAAGTTTATTTTTCGGCCAGGTGTTGGTGGTGCACTGGGAAGGCAGAGGCAGGCAGATCTCTATGAGTTCGAGGCCAGCCTGGTCTACAGAGTGAGTGCCAGGATAGGCTCCAAAGCTACACAGAGAAACCCTGTCTCGAAAAACAAACAAAAAAAATGTATTTTTCATTTTACATACCAACCCCAGTTCCCCCTCCCTCCCCTCCTTCCACCCCTCTGCCTCCCATCCTTCCCCCAATCCCCTTCTCAGAGGGGGTAAAGTCTTCCTTGGGGAGTCAACAAAGTCTGGCATATCAAGTTGAGGCAGGACCTAGCCCCTCCCCTTTATCAAGGCCATAGGGATTGGGCTCCAAAAAGCCAGTTCATGCCCCTAGGATAGATCCTGGTGACACTGCCAGCACCACCCCCCAACAGATCAAGTCTCATAACTTCATAACTGTCACCCACATTCAGAGGGCCTAGTTTGGTCCCATGCAGGTTCCCCAGTTGTCAACCCTTAGTCTGTGAGCTCCCTCTAACTTGGGCCAGTTGGAGAGACTAAGATTTAATTGAATATTTTTGATAAGTTTTGAATTTTGTACCATGTAGATATGTTACCTATTATGAAAAAAAAAACACTTTAAAAACAAAACAAAAATTACTGTGTTTAGCAAAAGCTTCTCATTCTTGGCAAAGACGCCAAGCAACCTCTCAGGACTCTCTATTGTCACTTCCCTTAAAATTCATTCCAGTGTTTTTGATTTCCTTCTCTCTGCCAAGCAGAAAATGACTCCTGCTGTTTGGTAGCCCTTGGATCAGGGCTGATCCTTATAGTTCCGGTACCAGTCAACCATCTAAGGAGAGTCCGCCCTGGTCCCAAGGCTGATACCTAGATGTGGGGTTTGAGCTCTGCAAATGCCCACCCCTCCGGCTCTAGAGAAGCTGAGCACTGTCAGAACCATCAGAAGTTAGAGTGAGGCATAGGAGGACTCGCCACCAGAGCTTCCAGAAGCAGCCCAGCCCTGCTAAGGCTTCATTTCAGTCTTCTGGCTGTCAGATCTATGGTGTGAATCTGCTGTTTTAAGCCACTATTTAGAGAATGCAGTGGGAGGCAGACAGAGCTTCATTTACACCCTCCCACGAAGGTGACAGGGGCAGCAGAGAGCTGGAGGTGCAACTTAGAAGAGGAGGAAATTTCCCTTCACACACCAGTCTATCCACAAGGCTTCCTGCACCACCACTTTCAAAACACAGCTTCTAAGTCTCGTCTCATAACGTGGAACAAGGACCCTGAGTGCTGGGATTAAAGGCATGTGCTACCAATGCCCAGCAGTTGAATCTGTTTTTAAGATCTTGGCAAAACATACTCATCTAACTACATCCAACAGAAAGAGTGGGGTAGTTGCTATGGGATGAGCACTGGGGGGGGGGGTGGGAAGTGGAGCCTGGTCTACAGGGACAGACACTGGCCCCAAGTGGGGGCTGAAAGTGGTATGAGCAGGGGAAAATGATGAACCAGTGAGAAACGGGCCAAAGTACACGTTGGTGTATGGAAATAGTGCCCTCACTGAAAATGTTTGCTATTGTTCTATTACTATTGTAAACAAACAGCTCTATCTTGCTTGTTTGGCCAAGAAAAATCATGGCAGTGCATCTGAAAGGTCCTGTCTCCTGGTGGTGTAGTCACAATCTTCCTCCCCCATGAGAGTTTCAGGAACGGCCTACTAACCTAGATTCCTGTGACTTATGTCACCATCAGCTATAACATCAGCTTTCAGGAGAGAAGTTAGCCTTCAAAAGATGATCTGAAATACTACTGCAGTCACAGAACACTAAAGTACTTTATACAGGACTTATGGGTGAATGCTGGGAGCCAGCCCCTGGGAGCTGGCCCCAGCTTCACAGGACTTCTGTGCAGATCTGTGTTGTGGAATATTAGTTGAAGATGTGTTACACTTGCTTACCCTGTGGAACATTTGTTTAATGATGCAAAGATACGTTGCATTCTTTTATGTTGCATTGGTTTAACTCTGTGAAGCTGTGTTACTTTGCCTGCCTAAAATGCCTGATTGGTCTAATGAAGAGCTCAACGGCCAATAGCCAAGCAGGAGAGAGGATAGGTGGGGCTGACAGGCAGAGAGAATAAATAGGGGGAGAAATCTGGAAAGAGGAGATCAAGGAGAGAGAAAAGGAGAAGGAGAAGAGGATGTCAGGGGCGGCCACCCAGCTACACGGCAAGGCTACGGAGTAAAAAGTAAAAAAGGCATATAGAACAGAGAAAGACAAAAATCTAGAGGCAAAAGGCAGACAGGATAATTTAAGTTTAGAAAGGCTGACTAGAAATAAACCAAGCTAAGGACAGGAATTCATAAGAAAGAATTAGCCTCTGTGTGATTATTTGGGAGCTGAGTGGTGGGCCCCCAAAGAGCAAATAGGAAAAAACAAAAACAAAACAACTACAGCTCTGTTATGGAGGACATCCCTCTGTCTCTTCCTCCAGGTCCCTGGTATCCCCCACTGTACCAGAGACACTGGACTGAAGGTGAACAACTTCGAAGCAAACAGAGAGCCTGAAAGCCCCCTGGGGTGTTGCAGTCAGGGTGGGCTAGAGTGCCCTCCCTGCTAAAGGACCTTTTTTTTTCTATCTTAAAGGAGTCGGGCAGAGGTCTTGCTGTCCCTACTCTCTCTATCTTACCTGGTTCAGTGGAGTGTTAGCACAGCAAAGGCCTTTAAAGAACTCAATGATCTGCATGTAGAGCTGAAATTTCTCCTCTAGATTTTCTGGGTTGCAGTTGGCAAACACAGAGCTGACAGCAGAGGAAATAGAAACCATTAGATACTAACCTTTCTCCCATGCCCTAAAAACTGGCTTACTGTGAAAACTTTAAGAATTGTCAAGGAGCCCAGGGCTGTTCCTAGGGAATGTGTAGTGCTTCACTGAAGTGCCATATCTGGCAGGCCTGGAAGGTGACTGTGGCAAGCCTTGCTTCTTGGGTCTTAATGTAGTGTTCTAAGCTGTGAGCTCCTGAGTGAAGGAATGAGAACCCCTCTTGCTCTCTGTCAGTCTCCTGCAGCAGAGCTTGTGGTTCTGGGTTTATGTGAAGCAGTTTGGGGTGGTGTTCATAGTGTGAGTTCAGCCAGGGAGTGGTCCTCACTCTGATTTTCCCACGGTACTCAGCTTTGAGGAAACAGTAGTTCTGTTTAGTGGGCTTCGTCTATCTTTAGGAGCAGCCCTGTGCAACTGGTGCCTTGTAGTAGCAAGGCTGTGGGTATCATAGGACAAAACTGCCCTCGCTTTTTCCTGGAAGGATGTTCCAGTTAGCCCAGGGATCCTTTTCTATGGAAGGCAGGAAAAGACATTTTAATAGTTTTTTTTTTTTTTTTTTTTTTTTTTTTTTTTTTTTTTCGGGGGGAGGGGGGTCTTTTCAGCGGAATGAGGACTTCCTAATAGATTGACATATACACTCTGAAAACTTCTTGACAAAGTTGTTTGTACAACCTAAACCCAGTGCAGAAGTAGGAATGTCGATTTCTGCTTCTCCCCACTAGGTGGGAAGTGCTCACATTGCATAGCTTCCTGGCAATCCCCAAGTTTGGTGAGACCTGGGCGAGGGAGGCAGAATGGAAGAACTAAGGTGGATATTCAGGCAGCCTGAAGCTCTGCTTGAAGTCACTGAGGCCATGGCTCCTAGGACTCCTTGCAGCCCAGGCTGCCACTGGGAAGACTATTCACTCTGATCATAGGGATGTGGCTGTCCCTCAGTCCCATGGAAAAAAAAAGAAACTTACATGCCAGGCATATTTTCAGCCAAGACCACAGCTACTCAAACAGCCACTGCAGAGCTCCCGTTCTGGACTGTCACATTCTGGGAAAAGCCTCCCCATCCTGCTTTGGTACAGGTGGAGCCAAGCTGCTTCTTGCTTTAAATCTTCCCAGATCCCATTTTCCCATTTCCCATCTTCTCACCATGGTGCAGCCATCCTTTTGTTCAGCCTCCTTCTGTTTCTATCAGTCCCTCTTTGTACAGCCTGGAGATCCCTTCAACTCAAAGCTTATTCCTAAGTTGACCCAGTTCTCTGTGCCCCATTTCTGCAAGGTTGACTGCCATACATAGCCTGCCTCATAGACCAAAGGTTAACATTGCCCCCAGACTTATATTCTGATATCTGCCCCCCCCAGAATGATGGGAAGATATCAAAAAGAGGCCCTAGGGAGATCTGTTTACACAGAGAAGGTGACATCTGTAGGGAACTGGCCTTCTCCAGGCTTTGCCTTGGCCTTGATCTTGAAGTCCCAACCTCCAGAACCTTGAGCAATAAGAGTCGGTTGTTTCTAAGGTCTGTTGTGTAAGGATGGACCAGTAGTGAGGCTGTGACTGCCCAGAGCAGGCACAAGCAGGGCCAAAGAAACATGGGGAAACCAGGCAAGTAAGAATCATGCTCTGAAAACCTGAGCAGGTAACTGGGTATGTGCTAGCCTCGGGACAGTGGGGAGGAGTTTCCTCCTCTGGGGATTATGTGTCTGTCTGTAGGATGGAGAAGAGTAGCTGCAAACATCTCAGGAATGATGCTCTCGTGTGTACCCCCCCAACACACACAAGCTAACAGTGTCATACCCATACGCACACTGGTACAAATTCATGTATGTACACATGTATACCACACACTCACCAGCTGCACTCTCATACCCACGTATATACGTAATACTTTGCCAAAGCACCTTCCTCACCTGATGTTAGCCATCTGCTGAGCCTCACTCTTGTCCAGAAAACTGGCCACATCAAAAGCATCTTCAAAAAGGGCCTGAAAGAAAGCATACCATTGCCTGTGTCAGAACTGTGGCTGCAGTCTGCTGCATGCCCGGGACTGCTGGGCCTGTGTCAGAACTGTGGCTGCAGTCTGCTGCATGCCCGGGACTGCTGGGCCTGTGTCAGAACTGTGGCTGCAGTCTGCTGCATGCCCGGGACTGCTGGGCCTGTGTCAGAACTGTGGCTGCAGTCTGCTGCATGCTGGAGCTGCTGGGCAAGAACAGTATGCAGGCTATTTCTTAGCAACCTGTCCATCCAAAGCACACGCGTGTCAAATCTAGCCCCAAACTCAGAGTTTCTGCTCAGTGATCTTTCCAAGGAGTGACTCCCAAGGAGGAAGGAGCAAGAACTGGGGACTGCTACCCTGCTACCCTCTCCTCTCAAAAAAAAAAAACAAAACAAAACAAAACAAACAAACAAAAAAAAAAACGGCAGCAACTTAGACACGAGAGGCAACAGCCAAAGCCAAGCTTCAAGTTACAGCCAGGGAAGGCCCATCCAACCATCCAAACCTCCCCAGGTGGAGATCTATTCAAGTTCACAACACACAACCCCCATCTCATCCTGGGTATCTGAATACAAGGTAAGGCTGAGGGACAGCTTTGCCAAGGCCAGTCATTCACTGCCAAGCTCAGCAAGGTACTCCTCTCAAACTCTCTTTTACAAAACAAGTCACATCTGCTACAGTTAAACGTCGGTCCATTCCAAAACTCTTATATTGATGACTTGGGCTTTAGGGTTTGGAGAAATGTCTCAGCGGTTAAGAGCATACAAGCCTCTTGCAAAGGACCCACTGGGCAGTTCACAACTGCCTCTGTGCCCAGCTCCAGGGGAAATCTGACGTCTTTTCAACTCTGTAGGCAACTGTACTCATGTACACACACACACACACACACACACACACACACACACACACACACACACACACGCATGCACGAACACACACTTTCATAATTAAGAATAAAATAATAAAATACCCCCTCCTTCCTCCTCCCCTCCCGTCTAATGTAAAGACATAGCAAGAAGAGCCCAGCAAGATGTAGTCACAGGGCGTAGGTTTTCCTCCCCCAAACCATGAGCCAACAAGTTTGTTGTTAATTTCCCAGGTTCAGGAATTCTACAATGATACCAAAGGGGCAAGATGACAACAGTGCAGCTGTAGAGCTGCTGCAAGAAGTAAATAAGTATGTATGCATGTATGTATGTATGTATGTATGTATGTATGTATGTATTGGAAACTCAAATACTTTGGCGGTATTAAAGGTTGTCTGCTTCATAAAAGAACTTCATGAACACTGGGCGTTCTGAACCAGGAATAGGTGAATTAAGGATCACCGAGTGACTCCGCCGCCACATTGCTGACACACTGACCTATTTCTCTGCAGTCCTTTCCTTCATTATGTTATAAGACAAAAGTTACAATGATTAATGACATGAGGATACACTTCCAATGTAGAATCTTGTTTTTATAGTTTTTGGCCCTGTTTATTTCTGAATTTATGTTCAAACAGAATACTAAGTGTTCAGACAAGTGTGATTTGCACTTTAGACTGGGAGACCTAGCAAATAAAAACACATGGTGCCCAGGTAAATTTGAATTACAGATGGGAAGACTTAATACTCTGGGTCTGGCATAAGGAGGCTCCAAACACCGCAGGAGAAATATTGACTGAGACGTGTGAGTGGACCTGCTTCCTTTTTCTCCAGCACCCCCTTACACTGCAGCCACCCTGAGGGGTTCACTGGTTTGCCAGGGGCTCTCACTCCTACCCAGTGTATGCAATTCTTTCCCAGAGGGCAAGCATCTGCTCTGCCGTCTTCCTCAGTGTGTCCCCCTGGAACATAAGCCTTTGAGACCTTGGCCATCCAGCTAGTTTTCTGGACACTTTCGGTGTCTTCTATGACCTCCCTGATGTCACTTCAAAGGCTATCAGGAAAGGGGCCATGGAAAGGCCTGTGCTCCTGTGCCTATCAACTTGCTTTTCCTTCCCACAGATCTGAGATAGAGAGCCCAGACAGTTACCCCCCAGCTATAATTAGTCCACACATGGCAGGCCACTTGCTGTCTTCACATATACAAAGCCCTCTCATGAGTCACCCATTGAGGGGCATTAAGAAAGTCAAGGCTGGCCGGGCGTTGGTGGCACATGCCTTTAATCCCAGCACTTGGGAGGCAGAGGCAGGCAGATCTCTGTGAGTTCGAGGCCAGCCTGGTCTACAGCGTGAGTTCCAGGACAGGCTCCAAAACAATACAGAGAAACCCTCTCGAAAAACCAAAACCCAAACCAAACAAAACAAGAAAGTCAAGGCTGGGCCTGGAGAGAGACAGCTCAGAGGTTAAGAGCACTGACTGCTCTTCCAGAGGTCCTGAGTTCAATTCTGTGCACCCACACGGAGGCTCACAGCCATCTATAATGAGATCTGGTGCCCTCTTCTGGCATACAGGCATACATGCAGGCAGAACACTGTATACATAATAAATCGAAGGAAGGAAGGAAAAAAGGAAAGGAGAAAAAGCTAAAGAAAGCCAGTCAAGGCAAAGGACTGCCACACAGGTCTAATCACCTCTTCCGGTGTGGAGTCCAGTGAGCAGCTGGCCCCTTGGCTGTCCACCCCGCTGTCCTTCACACTATCCTCCACACAGGCCAGCTCTAGACAGGCCTCTGCGAGGTCTGAGAAGGTGGTGCTCTGCTGCTCCCACACCTGTAGGAGACTGGCTTTCTTCTCCTCAGAGAGAGTCTGCCACAGGTGGGAGACGGCCGCGGAGACGATGGGGATTATCTCTTCCTGTGGGGAGATGATGCCATTCATGGTCAGGAGGTCCATGGTCTGCTTGTAGAAGTTGAGGTACCTGCAACACAAGTGGTATGTCCCTTAGACCTGTAGCTGCCTCCTTATGATCAGACGACAGCTCACACTCATGGCTACCATTGCTTGGTTTGCCAACAGCATGGTTTTGTCTCTGCCTTTGCCTGGCCCCAGGAAGGCAGAAGTCATCTGGAGGGCCACGGAGAACACACATTTATGCCTCTCCAATTTCTGCTGCTCCTAAACTCTCTGCCTCGTGGAAGGCACGGCTGCATTAACTCCCCGCACTATGGAACATTCTGAGGCTATAAAGTGGCTGGCCTGCTGCACACCTTGAATTTGGGGCTTGAAGGACTCAGCTATGGAGTGAAATCTCCTTGTCTCCAGTCCATGCCAACATGACTGCTGGAAGGGTCTCAAGTCTGTGGAGGAGGCAATAAAGGTCTGAACAAGCCAGTCACTCTCTTTCTGTAAGTGCAGACACGGCCTGGTTCTCTTACCTCGGAAAGCAGACTTCTGAGGTGTGTGTGTGGTAGACCCAGGGGTGAACACCAGAAATCACCTTCAGTCCTCGTTTCCCAGGGACCCCAAGTAAATATTTACCCACTCTAAATAAAAGCAATGGATTTGCTACACGAATGTAACTTCCACAGTGTTTGCCCAGCCCCTTGGCAGGTCTCCATGGGGTGCCTCCCACATGGAGATCCTGTAGATTGGGACCTGGTCTGGATCATGCATGCTTGGAGGCCACCACACAGGCCAGCGGGAGTGTCTGTCCCCTTTCCCCCAGAATCTCCCTGGTCAGTAAACCATCCCTCCCCATTGTGCACACCGTTCGAATTCCAGGAGGTCAGGCAACAGAGTGGTAGAGACGTGTGAGAGATCAACTTTTTTCTCCTCCTCCTCCTCCTCCTCCTCTTCCTCCTCTTCCTGTTTCCCCCCCTCTTCTCTCTCTTCCTCATTTTCTCCTTCCTCAGCATCCTTCCCAACAGCCTCAGGGGGGCACCATGGCGGGGAGCTGTTCTGAGGAAAACTGTTTAGGAGAACACTGGGGGAGAACACAGAGTCAACAGAGTGCTAGGCACATATTGCCAGTGAACACGGACACAGACATTCATAATGTAGTTTCACCGACTATTTAATCCAACTATATAGACAATAACCAAGTAGACCTTAGGAATATAAAATGGAAGGTACATCATCTGAAATTCAGTCACTTTACCATATCCGCAGGGTATAGAGGAAAACTCACATGCTTATTTCATTCCTCTGTGAACAAGAAAGTGATAAAGCCTGTATGGAGGGAGATTGGAGGAGATTTCTTTCTTCTTGGCATGGTTTTTAAGGTCTTCACATGGTGTAACTTGATTTTTAACAAAATTTTCCACTAGGAAAATATAGCTAACATTTAATATATTATTAATTTAATTAATATTAAATACTAATTTATCCAAGGACATATACTTAATAATTATTTCCCACAGTCTATAATACACATTCATTGTTAAAAATTTGGAAAACAGGACTGGAGAGATGGCTCAGTGGTTAAGAGCACTGGTTGCTCTTCCAAAGTACCCAGGTTCAATCCTCAGCACCCATATGGCTGTTCATAACCATGTATAACTCCAGTCCTGGGGATCAAGCACCCAGTCTCCCGGTACACTGCATGCACATGGGACACTGACCTACATACAGGCAAAACACCCAAACATATAAAATAAAACTAGAACAAAAAATTAGTTTTTTTTTTACTTAAAAAATAAAATAAAATTCTAGAAACCAGAGGGAAAAAGTACGAAGAAGAAAATAAAACTTCTAACTGTCCACAAACAAACAAATAAACAAACAAACAAGAAAACCCTGAGTAACATCACTTCAAGGAGCAGATTTTGGTAGGCTGTAACAGTAAGTAGTTTATAGCCCTCTCTGATATGGGTTAGCATGACTGGCACTCATCAGAGGCCAACCTGGAAATATAACATGCCATTGGAGATAGACATGCCATAAGGCCACTGGAGATGACACAGCCTGATGGTTGGCCCTCCAGTCTAAGATGCAGTCAGAGCCACTCTGGAGCCTGTGGGTTCCATGCATGGGAACTGTGTCACATCTCGATGGCAATGCAGAACGAAGACTGTACCCATACAACACGCATGAAAAGCACAGGCAGTGAGGAACCTAAGTGCAAACTTGTCTTCTGTTATGCTTTCTGTTATGGAGTTCCCCTCCTTCTTCTCCCAAAAAGTCTCATGTGTTGAGGGCTTGGTCTCTGTTGGTGACACTATTTGGGATGGGAGTCCTGGGGACATAAGATTGTAGGGTCTAGCTATAGGAAGTGGGCCACTGGGGTGGGGCTTTGGGGACATCTTGTCCCTGGCCCCTTCTCTTTTTTTGTAAGATTTATTTATTATGTATACAACATTCTGCCTTCGTGTATGCCTGCATGCCCGAAGAGGGCACCAGATCTCATAATGGATGGCTGTGAGCCACCATGTGGTTGCTGGGAATTGAACTCAGGACCTCTGGAAGAGCAGTCAGTGCTCTTAACCTCTGAGCCATCTCTCCAGCCCCCGGCCCCTTCTTATCCCTCTCTTTGCTTTCTGTCTTCCCCCTTCCACACATCCCTGCTGTCACAATGTCCGGTTCAAACAACCCTAGACTGAACTCAATACAGATGTGAGCAAAAGAAACGCTTCCTCCTTTGAGTCGTCATCTCCGGGGTCTGAGTCACGGTGACGAGAACAGTAATAACAATGGGACAAAAGTAGAAGAAAGACCTTCCTCAGGCCAGTCTCTCTGTTCAAGTCTGACTGTGACCCCAGCTAACACCCTTTCACGTCTGTGACACCCATCTTTCCCCTAAGACGCTGTGGCTGCTCTGACTCTAATTTGGCTTGTATTTCCATGAGATTTGAAAAGGCCAGGATTGGCATTTTCCTATAAACAAAGCTATTAATTGAGACATATAAACTAATATAAATAATATCACACACACACACACACACACACAACACACACAGAGCACAGAGAGAGAGAGAGAGAGAGAGAGAGAGAGAGAGAGAGAGAGAGAGAGAGACATCGAGATACATGGGTAAACCCCATGATCTCATTTCTCTAAAGTAATGTGGAAAATTAAAAATGCCAGATGGATGGACAGTCTTCAGTGTTAAAAGAGACCTTCCTTTGAGAGGTGAGATGCTTTTCTCTATGATTTCTGTAATAAGCATAGATCATTTAGGAAGAATGTCTAAGCCATGTTATTAAGATAAAGGAGAACAGAGTTCTCCCTGGAATGAGACGGCTGTAGTGGGTGAACAGCAGCCCTGACAGCCTTGCTTACTGTAGGCCGCTGCACCTCAGCATCAAAGGCTTCCAGGGAAAGACAACAGGCTCCCTCCTCCTGGTGCCTGCCTGGTCTTACCTGTCATCCTCAGAGTACATTTTGGCGTATTCTTCCTTGACCTCCTCTAGGCTGCTGGCATTCCCATCCTCCAGGTTGAAGGATCCTATCAGTGAGGTGAGGGCAAGAGTCATAGAGAGAAAAAGCAGACCCTTTGGGTCTCTCCTGCCTGACTGGTTCAGGGAGCCTATGGAGTGGGCCTGGAAAACCTTGACCCTCCCAGGTTTTCACTTTCCAGGGAAAGCTCAGGTCAAGTGCTGGTCTACTTCCTCTCTGGTCTCTGAAGCACAGGTCAAGTGTCTTCAGCCGTGTCCCGTTAAGGAACTCATCAAACCCACCCAGCCTTGGGACCCTTGCCCATGCTTCCGGGCTACAGGTTCCCTGGGACAGGGGCCAGTTATGGCCCAAGCACAGTGCCCGATACACTGTGTGTTCCTGACATGAGTCTGCCGATGTTGTGTAACCCTACCTCTGCCTTCAATGGAAAACCTGAGCCAGCCTTCTCTGGGGGAGGGGGGGGTCTCTTGCCTTTGAGCTTCAGCAAATTGTCCAGGGTTTGTTCCAGTTCCTGAATATGAATCTTCGTCTTATTCAGTACCTGCCACTGAGGACACAGACACTGTTGAAAAGACAGCCTTTCATCACTGCAGGGACTATTTTCTTTCCCAGACCCAGGAAACCCCTTCCCAGTCGGAGGCCACACTCCCTCAATGCAAAGCCCCATCCTTGGCCTTGTCTGTGGAGTGGACAGGAAGTTTGTCCCAATGCACAGAAGGCACTGAGATGCGCTCGTATTCTAGAAATGGATGCTCACTGAAAGACAGAGTATTTGGAAACAAGTTGTGTTTAGAAAACAGCTGCTGTGCCTGTAGAGGCTGCTTGCAGGTGGGACACTGACAAGGAGGCTCAGCAGGCTGAATGTCAACCTCAGGCTCGCACACAGGTCACTAGACTGCTGCTCAAGTTGTGACCATAGGCAACTCACTCTCCTTTCCTCAAAATGTTAATTTGCTAAATTCATATACTTCATAGGACTAGGCATGGTGGCACATGCCTATAATCACAGAACTCTGTAAGTACAGCCAGGAGGATATCAGGAGTTCAAAAAGTCAGTCGCACAGTAAGTTCAAGGCCAGCTTAGAATACATGAGGCCCTGTTTTTAAAAAAAAAAAAAAGAACAAATAAAATAATTAAATACTTTTTATGTGGTCTAAGCATATTTCATGTGACCTACAAATAGCAAATGTTCTGTGAATTTGAACTCAGAAGTTTTCCCTTCCTTCCCCCACTTTGTCCTATATACCCCACTGTCCTTGTCCTGGGACTCATGCACTGTCTGTCAAAGGACTATGAGCCCAAGGCCACTCTGTGGTCAGAATCTTGGCTTGCCCTTAGAACAAGATGGTGCTCTGGCTACTGTGGTCTAAACATTCGTGTTCTTCCTGATACAGATGTTGAACCTAACCCTCATTTGAAGATATCCAAAGGTGGCACTTTTGAGGTGATTGTCATGAGAGCAGACACTGCATGTATGAGACTAAAACCCCTGAGATAAGAGGCCCAAGGGAGCTTTTCACTTCTTCCAAGTGAGGACATGGCTGGATTGAACTTTAAATGAAACAGACACAATAGACATTAAATCCGCTGCCACCTTGAACTTAGACAGGCTATCTATCTTCCAGGGCTGTGAGCAATGCATTTCTGTGGTTTATAAATTCCCCAGGATATGATGTTTGGTCATAGCAGCTACGAAAGTCTGTGACACTGACATTTTGGTCCAGAGCCAGTGGCCTGTCTGGGCTCAGCTGGACCTCAGCGTTTCCCTTGCCCTGTTTTCTTCTCTTTCTTTGAGGCTGGGTCTTGTGTAGCCCAGTGTGAACTCAAGCACGCTGTGCATCCAAGGATGACCTCAAACTTCTGATTCTTCCAGAGTGCTTAATTTACAGGTGTGCACCACCACGCCTGGTTTTATAATGCTGCAGATGGCACATTCTAGCTAGACACTCAGCCACTGAGACTGCCTTCTTAGTGTCCTGCTGCGTCAGGGAAGCCAGACATATTGACATTTCTTCTGGAGTATTTTTTCATTTCTATTTTTTAAACATACAATTTATTTTTATTTTATGTTTATTGGTGTTTTGCCTGCATGCATCTCTGTGTCAGGGTGTCAGAAGCCCTGGAACTGGAGTTACAGATGGCCATGTGGGTGCTGGGACTTGAACCTGGGTCCTCTAGAAGAGCATCTAGTGCTCTTCACCACTGAACCATCTCTCCAGTCCCCTCATTTCTACTTTTTAAACATTTATTTTAGGACGGGGGGTACACCACAATGCCTATGCAGAGGGGACAGGACAGTTTTCAGGGGCTCCTCTCTCCTTCTGCTTCGTGGGTTCTGTGGATTGAACTCAGGTCATCAGGCTTGATGGCACGCACCTCTGCCTGCTGGACTCTCTCCTGCCCTTTAGAATGCTTTAGTAGGCCCACTTTCTTAGAACTTTTGTTCTGACCGAATTATCTCCCCTCCCCCACAAATCCCACCACAACACAGAAAAAGATATGCTGAGGTCCCTACCTCTCTGGCAGCTGTGACAGTAATCTATTTATTTATTTGGGGGTAGTGTAACCATGTTAAAATGGAGCCTTTGGACTGGTCCCCGATTCAATATGATTGGTGCCTTTGTGAAAATGAGAAACGTGCCGGGCGTTGGTGGCGCACGCCTTTAATCCCAGCCTTCGGGAGGCAGAGGCAGGAGGATCTCTGTGAGTTCGAGACCAGCCTGGTCTACAAGAGCTGGTTCCAGGATGGCCTCCAAAGACAAAACAAAACAAAAACAAAAACACAAAAAAAAAAGAAAAAGAAAAAGAAAAAAGAAAAGGAGAAACGTGGACAGAGACAGAACACTGCTACAGGGAGAAAATGACATGAGGACAGGGAACATGAATGTATGGCTGGAGTGGTGCCACTACAAGTCAAGGAATGGCAGGAACTGCTGGAAGATGCCACAACCCAATGGCGACACAAATGATGTCCCTTGATGCTGTCCCCTGGCCTTGGATTCCACAGCCTCTAGAAGTACCCACACCCCATGTCTGCTGTCTTGCTGTGGCAGCCTTGGAGAGCTAAGAAGACCCTGTCGCACATCACTCTCACAGAGCGACTTTCACCATGTGGAAGCCTGGACTGTCCCTCCAGTAACCAAGAAAGAAAAAAGACAGCAGACGCCTGGTTCCCAGGCACTGTGGCTGTGCCGTTCAATGCAGACAGTTTAGCTTTTCAGAGCCTTGGTCTCCTGGTCTGTAAAATAAGAGCGGTGTGAGCACAGGTGTGGGGAACGAATAACTTCAACATCCCGGGAAACAACAGGATGATGTCTGATGGCCAGCACTGCTCATCGTTTCTTGTGAGTCTTGGAAAACCCATCGAGACCTACGAGGAAGCCATTAGCAATCCCTCGTTTAGCAGGTGTGGGAACTGAAGGCCAGAAGTGACTTGCCTCATTCACCGAGACTAGTCAAGAGCCAGGCTCTTACCTGCCGCTAAAGCATGAAGTCCAAAGTTTGGGGGTGCTATGGTTTTTCTCCAAATGTAGCCACACCCCTTACACTGTAAGGCATCCAACAAGGCCCTGGGTACCTGTTTTCTGTTTGTTCATCCTGATAGTTTGCGAACACTGCTCCATTGGTCATTGACGGGGACTTTAGGTTTCTATGCCCTTCAAAAGCACAAGCAAGCTTGTCCTTATTCAGCAGATGCAGAGCACACGGCCTGGGGAACCCTCTGCCTCTCAGTGGAGACCCCAGGCCTGCACCCTGAGCTGCTGAGCCTGGCTTTCCTCTACTACTCACCAGGACCCCACCCTTCTCCAAGGGCAGAGGAAATCTCTGAGATTCCTGAAGCTGAAAACAGTCCGTGTGCCAGTTGTAGATTTGAACAAAATGGTCAGGTGTCATGTCACCTTTTAAAAATTTCCTCAGAGGCCTGGACCTACTCGGGAGCTTTTCCGTGTTGTCCTCCTACCCCAACCCCCAAATGAGAATCCTCTGGGAAATCTATGACCAGTTCATAGATGCTGCTTTGCTGAAGGTACCACCCCTGGAGGAATGCCAACTAGCTGGGAATAGGTACAGGATTTCAGAGAGTTCACAGAGAGATATGTGGGAAGTGCATCGGGCCTTGTCTTCTACTTCTACAGGAGGTCAAGTCTCTCCTCACCCATCTCTCCATCCTTCCCTCTCTCTCCCACTTCCGTTAAGACGGTGAGGAAATACAGGACCCCCCCCCCATGGTCTCCTGTAATACTCCTACAGTTATAAATTTGCTTTCTTCTATCAACACCCCACCTACCAGGTCCTTCTTTAATCTCTGACAGCTAATTAATTAATTACTGTTAATTAGCAGATAAAAGGATAGCTGAGAAGAAAAAGAGCTGGGTGGCCCACGTCTGTCATCCTAGCACTGGGGAGGCAAAGGCAAGAGGGTGTGATTTCAAGGCTGGCCTGTTCTCTGGAAAGTTCTAGGCCAGCCTGAGCTACATGGAGACTGCCTCAAACATCAACATCAATAAAAAAACCAAACACAGCAAGAAAAGATCAATGTGTACCTGGAGAGCCCAGGGGAACGAACAGTTAGTGCATAAAACCCACAATGTGTACAGATAGGCTGAGCATGCTCACGAGTTCCGGTGTGTTGTGTAGTACATGTATGTGCATACACTTCTGGTGCTGTAGGGGTGTGTGTGTGTGTGTGTGTGTGTGTGTGTGTGTGTGTGTGTGTAGGAGCTGCACAGGGTCCTGGAGCATCTGTTGGAGGCTGGCCGTTGCCTATGAACAGGACATGCAAAGAAACCAAGTAACCACATATCTCCCTCTGACCGGTAATTTCCCTCTTAAGTCAGGCTGCTCTGCTGCTGGCTGAGAAGCACAGCTTTGGCAGTTTGCCTCTGGGCAGCAGGACTCTAGGCCAGCCAGCCCTTACTTTATCCCCAAGTCCCATCATGTGGACAAATGTTTCCTCCACCCCTAGGTCTTTGTACCTTTGAGGCTGTGAGATCAGACTGGGAGTAAACTGTCTTCCTTAGGTTGTTGAAGAGCCCTGTCAGGGTGGCTCGATGGCGGGCCTGGGACAGGCGTCTGCGGGCCACCCGGGGCTCAAGCTGCTGCAGCTGTACCACTGGCTGGGGTGCCCCTTCATCACTGGGTTGGTTGCCTTCTCCAGGGGTGGCCATTATAATCTACAACACAATGTACCCCTTTCAGCACTGCATCTTAATGATACAACACTGAGGAAGACAGACAGACAGACAGACAGACAGACAGACAGACAGACAGACAGACAGATAGACAGACAGAAAGAAGGCAGCTCCCGAGGCAGTGAGTATAACCAACAAGACACACAACCAACCACAGATCGCCTACTGAAGTGTGATTCCTGGGGCTCACCTCGACATTCACAGACATTCATCTCTGTGGCCACGATCACACCTGAACCCTGAGAGCTTGTCCTTCACAGTCTGCCCCAAGCCAAACGGACTTGGGTCCCACACTGAGTGATCTTTCTAACCTTAAGAATGGCCCTACTTCGGTGGTGGCACACGCCTTTAATCCCAGCACTTGGGAGGAAGAGGCAGGCGGGTCTCTGTGAGTTCGAGACCAGCCTGGTCTACAAGAGCTAGTTCCAGGGCAGCCTCCAAAGCCACAGAGAAACGCTGTCTTGAAAAAAAAACAAAAACAAAAACAAAAACAAAAAAATACAAAGAATGGCCCTACTTACCAGACGTTGGTGACGCATGCCTTTAATCCCAGCACTGGAAAGGCAGAAGCAGGTGGATCTCTGTGAGTTTGAGGCCAGCCTGGTCTACAGAGTGAGTTCCAGGACAACCTCCACAGCAATACAGACAAACCCTGTCTCAGAAACACACACACACACACACGCACACACACACACACACGCACACACACACACACACGCACACACACACACACACGCACACACACACACACACGCACACACACACACACACGCACACACACACACACACGCACACACACACACACACGCACACACACACACACACGCACACACACACACACACGCACACACACACACACACACACACACACACACACACACACACGCGTCTTACTTTGGTATAGGGAGTGGTTATAAATGGAAATAAAAACCAAATAAACCTTGGTCAAAATGTCCACTGTGAATCTGTGAGCCATGACTATGCTGCTGCCTATGAAAGCAAGCAGTTACATGACACTTCCCAGGGGAGCAGACAAGGCTTTGCCATGTCTTGCTTCTGTAACACTGTAAAGATGACCATGGTATTGACATTTGTTTGACATTTATCACAGATGAGCTTACAAAGTAGGAGACTGATATATAAGGGTTTTTTCTTTTACTTCTTTCTTTTTCTTTTTTTAAAGGTTTCCACACAGTCCAGGCTGGCCTCAAACTTAGGATGCGGCTGAAGGTCACCTTGAACCCTGATCCTTCGGCCTCCACGTCCCTGGTGCTAAGGTTACAAGTGTGCTCCATAACCCAGTGTTATGCAGTGCTGAGGACAGAACCCAGCATTCAGTGAATCTAGACAAGCCTCCTACCAACAGAGCCATACCCCCAACCCCTGGTATAGAAGTCATAGGCCTCTTACTTGGGCACTAGCCATTTCATCAGAGGAGGCTCAGCCCTTACACAGAGAGCTCTTCCGGGTAGCTCTCTGAGTAGAGGGGCTGCATCTTCTTTCTCTCTGAGCAGCCGTACTCAGTGTTGGGTGCTAGGTTTCTGCTGGGTTCACCCCCCCCTGAGCTCAGTGCTTCAGTACAGTGAATCCATAAGATTGGAAAGACACTGGCCAACTTTATCCTGTGACAGGCACTTGTTGAGACACACTGATAAACTCAGGCTGAAATTCAGCTACAATTGTAACCAGAGGTATGTCCTTAAGGAGGTGATTGGTTACCCAGTCTAAGACAATCCCTTATAGTATCAGAAAAGAGTCTAAGCTGTAGGGGAGAAGCTATTAAGAGACACTGCTTAGACGAATGGAAGGTAAATACCACTAGCCTCTTGCCAGGATTTTAAATTGTCTGATAGTCACGCCCTAACCCTCTTGACTTGTAGGAGTCTGAAGCTTTCCCAATGTCAGTGTCAATGCCCATGGTTTTGTTTTCCTCTAATTTAGATACACTGAAACTTTCTCTTCTAAAAGCCCTTGCTGGTTAAGGTGTGTTAAGAAATCCGCTCTTAACAGTGTAAGGAGTTAGGTCAGTTAGAGAGGGAACTGTCTAGGAATAGCCTGGAATTCCAACTAGGAATAGCAAATCAGTTTGTAATACTCTTAAAAAAAATACAGGATTTTCCAAAGGTTGATTCTTCTCACTACCCCACCCCATCCCTCACAGATGAGATTCTAAGTAGCCCAGACTGATCCAGAACTCCCCTCCTGTCTCGGCCTCCAGAGTGCTGGCATCACAGGCAGGCAACACCACCCCTGGCTCGCTTCGGTTCTTTAACAGAAGAAATCTTCCTTATTCTGCCCACTGACCTCCACGTTACAGACTATTGTAATTTTTGTCACCTATAACATTACCCATCTCTGTTCCAGTACCTGGTGTCTACCCATCTAGAGCTGGCTTGTTCTTCAAAGCCAACTTTAAGTCTTAATTCATTCGAGGAGCTTCCAACTTAATACTGTTTTCCCAACATGCTGATGAGGCCCTTGGTGAAGCTCCAGCTCTCAAGTGTAGTTGGAATCCTTCATTGGCAAAATGCAGCGCCATGCAGGCAGATGTGGTTTGCTCCATCACCCCTTTATGCCACGCCTCTTCCAGGCAGAAGTGAAGAACCCTATTAACCGAGCCATGAAGACAAGAATCTCCCAGGCATGGATAGGAACAGAAGCAATGATTGAATAAGGCAAGGGAAAAGAAAGTTAAGAGGGAAATGCTGGAAGAGTAGAAGAAATAGCGTTTTAGTTTTCTCTAACCATGAAGACTTGCTTGCATTCCAAGTATTCACTATATCACCAGTTCAATTCTTAGCAGGGTTGAATGCCATCAGTTAGAGATGTGTTAAAGAGCCCATCAGAGCCAATGCTGGACATTTGCTGCCTAAGAAAAGTAGAGGGAGATTATACAGGGCAGGAAAATCCCATTCTTACTCAGGAAACTGGGCATGACCAGAGAAGTGAGTGTGTATGCAACCAGGATGATACAGGATATAGGGAAGTCAGTATGGAGATAGCAGTTTGAAGGATAATATTGGTTGGGTTGCTGTAGTATTGATGGTGGTGGTTGTTTTGTTTTTGAGGTAGAGCCTCAAGGTTGTAACTAGTCTCAGCCTCCCAAATAGTAGGGTTACAAGTAAGTGTTACTGTGCCTAACTAAAAATACTTACAATAATCCCAGTCTGAGAGTTGTGGCTCATGGCTGCAATCCCAGTTCTTGGTAGGTGGAAGCAGAAAGAATTCCAGGCCAGTCTGAACTACAAAGTGAGACTCTGTCTCAAGAACTCCCAAACTTGGATTGGCTACATAGATCTATTGGTAGACTGCTTGCCTAGCATGCACAAAACAATGGCTTCCATCCCCAAATACCACAGAAACATAAAAGTAGGTGCATCGCACTTGAGAGACAGAGGCAGGGTTATTACAAGTTCAAGATCACCATTACCCACACAGCAAACTCAAGGCTGCCTTCAGTGATAACAAGACCATTTCAGACAAGCAAATGAACAGCCTCTCTCTCCAAACCAAACACAACACAGCAAACCAAACAAAACAACTGAAACAAACAAACAAACAATACAAAGATGGAACCCATTCTTTTGTATGATAACCTTTAAAAAACAAATTTAAAAAGTGAATACTAGGCAAGACTTTGCCTAAAATAAGAGATAAGAAAAAAGAAAGAAAAGAAAAATCCATGATGTGGAAATGTCCTCACAGAGAACACAGAACTAGTGCCTTGCTACACAGGGAAAGGCAGGCCAGTTTATGGACAAGTTTAAGGCCCAAGTCATCATACTAGGTCCATTAGCCAGCCATGTGACCAGAATGGGCCAAGAAAATCCCTGGATCGTAATTTCTCTATCTGAAACCAGGAGGTAAAAATTCGTTAACTATATGGCAGTCTAAACTTTATCCTTTACTTGGTCATAGTCAGGAATCTGTGAGTATCTGGAGCAAGAGCAAGAGACACAAGCCATTCACATGCTCGTAGGGGTGTGGGGTAGGAGCCACCATCTCTTCAAGAATTCTGGAGCTGAAGTTCAATGACAAAAAATGTTTACTGAGCACTTGTTGAGTGCAAAGCCCATTCATTCTAGCACCAAAGAATATACAAGACATTTTTTAAAAGGCCTGGGTGTTAACATTTCCCCCTCAAAAACTTACTGTTGAGTTATGGCATAGTGGGATCAACTTGCCAGGCAGTTTTTCAGTAGAACAAAGCCAAATGGTGGCTTTTTGTGACAATTCAAACTGCCATGGCTGTGTTTTTATACCCTCTTATCTATAAATCAAAGCGCACTTTACCTTCTCTTTTTCCTTTCTCCTCCCCCTTTCTTCTGCCGGAGTCTCACTATGTAGCTCTAGATGGCCTGGAACCCGGGATCCTCCCACTCAGCCTCAGCTGGAATCACTGATGTATACCACCCTGCCAAGGTCCAAAACACACTTTTCTTTTTTTATTTATTTATTTCTTAATCATTTTTTTGTTTGAATTAGAAACATGGCAATCCCAGTTCCCTTCTCCCTCCCTTCCTCCCCTACCACCTCCCCCAACTAAAACCCTACCTATCACATATCCTTCTTCTAATCTTCCCCTGACTCAACCTTTCTGCTCCCTCCTGACCTCTGCATCCTTCCTCTTCTTCCCTTCTCATTCTCGTAGCTCCTCCCCGCTCTTCCCATGCTCTCAGTTTGCTCAGGGGATGGTGACCCTTTCTTTTCCCTTCTCCAGGGGACCATGTTTGTCTCTTTTAGGGTCCTCCTTCAAAACACGCTTTTCATAGCCAATTTCTCTTTGCAAACTCCACTTAATACTAACTCAGAGCTAACATTTTACAAAGCTTCCCAAAGCCAGATGTGATGGCACATATCTGTCTCAATCAAACAAACAAAACCAACGAGCAAGTCAACTAAACTAACTAAATGATTAGATTTTTTAAAAATTCCCCGAATTAAGTAAAAATAAGTGGTCTCTTTTTTTCCCCCAG